ATGAAATATTATTTCTGAAATATAATTTTAATTTTTTAGTTTCTTAAGTCATTGCGTAATGTACATTAATCAGTGCTTCAGAACAGTTTGCAGAAATAAAACTTTTATTAGGAAAATAAAGATATTCTTTGATATATTATTCACTAAGGCAGATATAAAAACCAACTGAATTGCCAGATATTGAACACAATTGATAGTTTTCTCTAATTGCATATTCTAATGTGATATTTTTATTTGAATTTAAAGTTTTGCCAAAATATTTACTTTCTTCTGATTATGTTAAAGAAATATGAGTAATGAATTTTTTTAAATATTTAATATTAATTAATGAAATCTAAAGATTCAAATGAATCTGGTTCTCATTGGACTCTTTTTTTTTACCAATTCTTTTATGTTAATGTTAATTTAGGATTATAAGATTATGATTTAACTGTTACCTATTTAAACAGTAGCTATGAATATAAACTGTTGTGTTGTGGACAGAGACAATATTCGACAATAACAATATATATCAAGTTAAACTATATCATAGAAAAGAAGTATTTAGAAAGACATGTTAATATAACTTTTTTTTTGTTTCAGCACATTAAACTAATATTTAAATGTTTGACCATCTTTTTTAATGTATTCTGTGTATACAGGATAGAGAATCCAACTCACCCACCTTAAATAACTTTTAAATTATCTATTTTATAAAAACTTATCGATAGGAGTTGTATAGTTTCAGGAGACACATTACATAACATACAATATGTTTGGTTTATCTAGAAACACTGAAATATCTCATAGACAATTGAAGATTGTATAGTACAAATAGTGTTTCTGCACATGGAATAGTGGCTCAGATTTCAAAATCAACTTAGTGTTTGTTAAGAAAATGATATATTGTTTCATTCATAATGTGATAGCGTTTGTTGAAACGATTTGAACGTGGTGCAACGTTGTCATTTCATTCTACGGAAAATCGTGGAGCGCCAAGGAATCAAGACAATTTATGCTACGCACAACTACGTAAAACTTTATTACGATTTTTCGTAAAATGACTTAGCATTGCACTTTGTTGAGACCGTTTCAACAAATATTGTTCAATTATGAATAAAATAATATGCAAATTTTCTTTTACCGCCCTTAAAATAACAGTATTTAATAAATACAAGTATAATAACCAGCATAGAACAATCAAACATTTCCAGACAAGACATGCCATATTTGAACAAACATTCTACGACAGCGAAGTAAATAACTAACTGAAGCAATCGCATATATGATAGCATTAGATTTGCAACCGTATAGTATCGTCGATGATATCGAATTTCTGTCCTTGCTTAATATTGTCGAACCACGATACGAAATTCCATCTCGTGTAACATTTGTCAGAAATATTACGTATGTATGAAGATTTAAGAAAGGATATTAAAAATAAAACATACAGATATTGAAGAAGACGATTGATTTTTGTTACTTTCATTTTCGATTTAATTTATATTTATTGGGTACTAGCTTAAACTACCCGGCGTTGCCCAGTTTTCTTATAATTAAGAACATTAGCATTTATGGGAATATGAAAATCAAACAATAACGTATTGAAATTAATTTATCTTCTTTATCAGTCACGAACAGAATTGGCACAGCTAGGTTTTAATTATACATATAGCTACAAATAAATCAAACCAAGAAATTTTGTTAATTTTTATATAAATTGCAATTATGCGGTTTATATTTTTTAAAAATTATACATATTGCGTTTTAATTGTTTACATAACAATGAAAAACAATAAAATATATAATAATAGCTGTTTTTCATCGAAACAAAAGTATTGGCACACTTAGAAAACTAGAAATTGTCTAGGAATTTTTATGATGTTGGTATGTTGTTTATACTCGGGAACTTCATGAATTTCAATGACATTCGTTTGTTTTTTATTTAGTCACTTATTTCTATAGAAGAAAATGTTAAAAAGTACAAAACTGTTAAAGTGCTAGTTCTAATTGTTTTTATTTATATTGATTTCTAATGTATTTTATTATTCATATCTATAGTTGTATTACTTCAAAATTTAAGTTTGCATAAGCAAAATAATTTATTATACATACGTAAATATAGTAAATATTATACATGCATTTACGTATAGTTCACAATTTATTATACAAAATTTAATTTTTAAGGTCCAGGCCTACATTTCAGTAAATTATTAAATTTTAGAATATTTTTTATTGAGTATAGTTTATTGATACTGTAGCTGTATCATCAAAATATAATTTTATAATGTAATATTCAAAATCATTAATGTATAATTTTACCTTACTTATTTTTACCTTATCAAGATACTAGTATCACTGTTTTGTATGCATATGTGTACTTTTTATATGTATTATATTTGAAACTGTTTTGATTAAGACGAATATAATTTAATCATATCTTCTTAAGTATTAAAAATGAAGGACGCTTGATAGAAATGTTATTATTTAAATGACTTAATTTAATTGCGTAATCAAGTGCTATATTTTGGTATATGTATTATTATGCTATCGCATAAACGTAGTTTTAATCGCTTGTCGTGCACGCCCGTGAATGCGGCTTTAGGGCTGTCTGAATCTGGTGTCATTTAGCGTCCCGTAGTGTGAATGTTAAAGCACGCCACATTCAAATTGTGCCGCGGTGTAGCCGAAGCGATGAACAAATAATGAGAACCAATCGAATTCATCCTCAGAAAATGTTATATAGGATCTTTAATTTGATTGGAGACCTTTTGTAAAACAAATGCATGTAAGCTTGGGATATGAAAATCAACGACGCCTAGCGACTCATTCAATTTTCCTCGTTCAAGGAGCTTAGACGTATAATCTCGCTTATTCTTGTTCCAAGCAAATTATTTATTAGTTATTAAAAGTTTCAACATTAGATTTTTCGTATTCATTAAATTTCCTAAACTATCGTGATCAGAGTGTTTTGGCGTTCCACGTGCGCAAATTCCGTCAAATTCTCCAAGAACCCACGCAACAGTATATTTAATTCAATTACGACAAATTTCTGTTATATTATGAAGTTTACGAACATAACCTAGAAAACAAACAATAATAACCAGTTTTGGTGAATTTGAAATTCGTTACAGTAGTATTAATTTTGTTTAAAGTGATGAACTAGTAATTAGATAATTTTAAAGTTCTTTGATTAATTATTTGAGGTACAAATTTATAATTACATAAAAGTTTCTAATACTTCCATATCAATGTACTAGAAACTTATGGATAAAATTGTTTTTCATCTGATTGTATTGCAGCATTAAATTAGATAATTTTTATATAGTGCTTACATATGTATAAGAATATAATTTCGCTAAACTAAATCTGCTAAGTGCTCTTTTTTTATAGGAATCAATATTCGATACTATCAATTGATATACGAGCAAATTGTGATTGTATAATGTTTGTCCTGGGAAAATATCTTTTACTGCTATCTTTTCTTTCGTTTATATATAATATTAGTGGTGTTCAAGGTGACCCTACTCCAGTTGTTTTGTGGCATGGAATGGGTAAATTTTTTTTATTGTTTTAATGTCATATATATATTTTATTTAATCCTTGTTAATGTTTATTTTGAAAAATTAAGATGGTAAAGCGTGAATTAAATATATATAAAAGTGATCACTAACATGTAGGTCTTTGTAAGGTTTTTTAGTCTTTATACGTTGTAATAATATAGTATTGAGTGCCAATATAATTCTTATATGTTAATCATTAGGCTGTCTTATCAATAATATTGCTTTGAAAATCTTTATTTCTTTTGTAAAAGTAGTAATAATTATAATTATTTTCAGTAATGTTTTTATGAATTACATTTTCTTGTGTATTATATGATTTTTTAATTTCCTGCTCAAAATGTTTCTAATACTTTACATTAAAAAATTAATCTGGTATTGGTTTTAGCTGACTTGTTTTAAACAAAATTTCGTCATTTACAACAGTACTGTATGAAAAGAAGTAAATTCATGTTAGATTGCAAACTTACAGTGGATGCAAAATAATTCTTATTTAATTTTTTAGGAAGTTGCTTTTATTGTATGAAATTAAGAGTTCTGAAAATGAAAATAAAATTTGGCATGCTTTGTTAAATGTAATCATTTGGTGTATGTCTACCTGGTCAATTCTTCATTATAAATTTCATAGTTATTCAATTTTATTTTAAAACTGTATAAGAACTACTATTCTGTATATCGTATAAAAGTTGCAAAATGTTTTAATGGATTAAGATATGACTGTGCAATAAGTATTATTGATTTGGTGTTGCTCATTGCAATTTACATTTATGATTATTATAAAGGATTTGTTTTGAATGCTTAGGAAAAATCT